AAAAAAAAAAAAAAACGCCTATCCATTTAAATCACCACTAATAATGACCATTTTCACAACAAAAGCAACCAATAATACTAAAGTGGCAACAAGGTTAATCTGTGGATTAGACGAATTATGTGTCAACATACAGGAATTTACACAACATAACAAAGATGTTAGCATATTATTGACATGTAAAAAGAGAAAGTTTTTAAGAATTCAATAAACGCTTGCGGCAATATAATTATTGCAATACAATATACATACAATACAAAGGGAATACAATATAATTTGGAAACACCTAGAGGCCATGTTTTTTTCAGGATTATTTATTTTCTCAGTGCATGTCAAGGTCTGCGATATATCAGACCGTACGTTGGTTCTCTTAGCCAGCATGGTAGATGCAGGAGAAACGGGCAGGTGTAAAGACCTGAATGACTTTAACAAGGGTCAAATCATTGTTGCCAGATGACTGAGTCAAGGAATCTCTAAGACAGCACAACTTATGGGGTATTTGTTTTTTTTACTGCTGACCAGTGGTAAATACCTGCTGATGGTGTTTGACGCTTTTAGTCTCATGTGATTCACTAGATGTAGACTTGAAGTATAAAATGCACATTTCTTGCAGCATTTTCCTCCGCTTTCTTCTCTTGTCTTTATGGTATTGTTTTGAAAATCATCTTTACTACGGGAAACAACAAAAACAACCTCCGAGCAGCACCATACACACTAAAAATAACAAATTTTACCTCTATTTTGCACCATCACTTTTGCAAGGACACCATCACTGCATCCTCAGCTTAGCACTGCTCAAACTGACTGTGATTGGTTTAAAAAAAACACGAATGAACCAGTGTTTTTTTTTCTGTCTCAATGGCAGAATAACAATCAGGTGCAGTAGAACCATTTTCTGTTGCTGTACACATTCGTCTGGCTTTGCAATGCTAGAAAATGTTTGATCTGCAGGTGGTCCAATTCGCAGCTTCCAGGACTTCAAGGCAACGAAAACCAAAAATGAAATAAAATAAATCAGATATTCAGCGCAATTATTGGTCAAAGACTAATCCTAGTGAAATATACACCTATGTAAGTAAATAGTGCTACACTGTGTCTTTGTCATGACCATATGACATAAATTAACATCCTTTACAGATAAAGAGGTGAGAGTCCAAAGTTTTTCTTTTACTGGAAACAGGTGCAGAGCTGGAAGACACACTAATGAGAGCAGTGAGAGCGAAAAAAAAAATGTTGTTTTTTTTTTGCCATTTTTTCCTTCCTGTCACATTTTTTTGCTGTGGACTCATTTTTTTTTACAGCAACAAAGTCCTGCCTCTTTATGGAAATAGCACAAAACTAAAGAGAACTCAAAATGTATTTGGTGCAGTATGACACCACACTAATGCCAAGATTATCACTTTTCATCTTCTCTTTAAAAAAAAAAAAAAAAA